TTGGGCCACATTTAAATAGAATGCATACAGAATTGGTGGGGGCTACACACTGGATAAAGAAGTTTCTCTTTAAATGTCAGTTGTGAAATCTGAAAACTTTCTATAGATACTGCCTGGGATATCGGGCTTTTAGGAAAATGTTTTCTGTGAAAATAATGTAACTTTCCTTCAGTTTTTAGAGTTGCGTATCAAATAGGTAATAGTAGTGATTACACGGGTAAATGTAATAGCTTGGCTTTGGCCTGTTTGTGACCTTGTTCTGGATTACCGAATTGGAGACCTGTTCTCCAGCCTATCAACTTCCTTCGTGTGCTAAAAATTCTGCGTAAGTCCAACTTTGTTTTTCTTTTATACTTTTGGTCATTTGACTAGGAAGAACTGCCATATCCTAAAGTTAATTTTTGCAATCAGCTTTTCTTGGTGTTCTGAAAGTTTTGCACAAACAAATGGTTGAACTTGTTTTTTTTACCCCTAGCTTTAACTTCTCTTCTGTAATGTTGAGTTGCAAAATTAAAGGAAAATCAGTTTTCACCATGTTTGCAGTTGAAGTTTCCTTGAAAGAATATCCTGCTTATAACACTTCAAATGAATTTCAAAATGTAGATTAATACATAGTTCTTTTTTTCTGAAGAAGTTCTGTTTGCCCAAAGAGGTAAATACATTTTCACATAAAATTCAAATGCTGTTTAACCTGGACAGTAAGTAAATTTGTTGATGCTTAGAGCTTAGAGCTGTGAACAAAGGCATCATGAGTTTGTTTTTAGGGCAAGTATTTTTTTTTTAATTTAGGTATAATTGACAGTCAGATGCACAACATAATGATTTATTATTTGTATATATTGCACAGTGATCACTAAATCTAGTTAATGTCAGTCACCATACATACAGAATTTTTTTTCCTTTTAAGATCTACTTTCTTACCAACTTTCAAACATGCAATACAGCAATATTAACTTTAGTCACCATGCTGTACATTAAATCCCTGTGACTTACTTATTTTACAACTGGAAGTTTGTACCTTTTGACTCCCTTTACCTATTTGGCCCACCTCCCACCCCTTGCCTCTGATAACCACCAGTCTGTTCCGTGAGTTTGTTTTCAATCTGGAACGTATCCATTAGTGTTTTTATGCCTTTCCTATTGCGTTCAAAGTCGCATATGCCATTTCTTTTATTTTAGTGCTTCAGAGATTAATATCAAAGGTTTCATGTGAAAAGTTTTGGTGATTATTTTCACTGAAACAAGGGTCTATCTATATCTATCTATGTAATCTAAGTAATACACTACTTAGAAGAGTAGTGTATTTCAGGACTTGATAGTGTTATTAATTGACTAGACTTAAACCTTCTAGTTTCAACATTATGAGATAACCTATTAAAAATGAATCTTTGCGTTCATATTCACTTCAGGTTATATAAACATTCAAGCAATATAGTTTTTATATTAGTATAACTCACTTTTGTGTGTGTGTTTTTAAAAATATACTTAATAAAATATGGTAGTTATAATAATTGGTGATGACAGTACAGAATATTCACATAACAAGAAGGAAATCAGTGCATGGTGATTTTTTGGATTCTTATCTGGAGCCAAAGAAGAGTTAAATTTTGTGAGTTTGTGGGGGTGGTGATCTCTGGAGGGGATAGGTCTTCTCAGTATCAGGATTGGAGGACTGTTTCCTCAACAGATGACTTGACCTTTCTTCATTTGGAATTGTCTGGGGTCAAACTTGATCATCCCCAAGGGACCCTTCTGTCTCTTGATTCATTGTTACCTGGCAGGGAGGAGATCCCATATTTATTATATGTTAATCTTATATTTACTTTTGGGCAGTTCAAACTCCAAAGTTTAACAGACTCTGGCCTCCTTCCTTAAAGATTAGTTTTTGCCTTAAAAGCAGGTAGCACCTTGATAAGTGAGTGTCTTTTGCTTACCACTTTTTCTCTCTTAGATCTCAAGAATTGTACATGAGTGAGCTGGTACTGGTTGACCAGCCCTGAAGATGTTGGGGGTATTATTAAAGTTAGTTTGCCAACTACAGGTCAAATTAACCAGCATGACTTACATTGATTTGAATGACTTAGCATGCCATGACATACAGTGGGCATTTAGTAGCATGAAGTGGGCAGGTGAAATCTACTAACTTTATTTCATAATAATATTCTTTGGTTTTCAAAGTGAAAGCAGCAGTATTGTGCTGTTCTCTTGTGTTCACACTGTTTAGGGTCCAAGCAAGATGGCCCTGAGATGGTATTTGAAGTGGTAAATCTTCTTGGATGAATTCTGAAATAGATTGGTCTCTGATTTAATTCCTGAATGGGGTGCAGTTGTTCTCTATGCAGTACAGCCAGGAGGGCGCTTTTAAAACATGTGTCCAATTTCATACCCACAGAATCGATTTCTGAGGGTAGAGGTCAGGCATTTTTTGACAAAGCTTCTCAGGTGATTGTGATGCTCACCTTTAATTAAGAACATTGTGTTTTCTTCATAGCAAAATTCACTTTTGAAACTATTGGTAGAAATTAATACTCATGTTGACAGTGGTTTTTATGGTGAAGTTCCCCCCAATATATTTATTTTACCCCCAGTATTCTTTTTATTCTTCTGAATACTTATAGTAATAGCAATAGTGGTTAAATATGTACAGAGCCATTGCTGTATGATAGGCACTATCTTAAGTGATTTGCATGGAATTTTTCTTTTAATCTTCACACCTGCTCTATGAGGTAAATTCTTTATCCCCGTTTGGTAGACTGAAGCATAGAGAAGTTTATATACAAAGTCATACATTTTGTTGGTATTGAAGTTAGGATGCGAGCTCAGTCAGAGGCAATTTGACTCCGTAGCCCAGCATTTGTAATAGACTGACCTATCTTACTGCTGTCAAAGGATAAATAACAAAAATGACTCCTTTCATCCCAAACTTCAGACTCCCAGTCCTCTTTCTAAGTCGGTTAGTACCATCTGCATGGGGTACGTTTCAGGATCTCAGTGGATGCCTGAAACCATGGGTCGTACCAAACCCTGTGTGTACTATGTTTTTTTCAT